TGCAGCGCGGGTTGCTCGGCCCCCGGCTGCGGGGGGGACAGGCCCGGCGGGCCCCGGGCCTGGGGCGGGAGAGGCTTTAAGAGGTGACGGGGGGGCCCTGGAGCCCTGGGCCGGGGGGGGGCAGCCCCGGCCTGAGGCCTGCGGGGCCTGGCGGGGCCGGGCGGCCCTCCGGGGCCAGGGGGTCGGGATTGAGGCCGCTGAGCAGCCCCAGTTGGGGCTCCCTGCCCTCTGTAGCCCGTTTGCTGTGGGTGTTTCTCGTCGCCCTGTCAGGGTGGTGTTTGCTGGTGTAGAAGATCCACTTCTTGGTTCAGTTTGAGTCCCTCTCCCCACAGGGGTAAGACTGAAGGTGTCTCCTTTGTCCGTGTTGCTTCTGATCATACAACGAGCACGTTCTGTGCCTGTCCCAGTCACATCGTTGGCTCTGGACTTTTGCTGGTGTATTTGTTTTAAAATATTGTAGCCCCTGTAGCCCTCACTGCTTTTTCCTTCCTTGCATATCTGTGGTCTCTTTCCCAAAGGGAAATGCACAGAAGTGATGGTTGAGAAGGAAATGCATATAGATGAAAATGTTCTGTGGTGGGACAGAGGTTCAGCCAACAGCTGGGTCCTGGGCACTGTCCTGGATCCATCTCTGGTCTTTCTGTATCATCTGTATTAATGGACAAGTCAGTGTTTGTCTTTTTGCACCACTGCTCTGGAGTTTTTAATTGTTTTCGTGTTACAAGTTACTTTAAAATAAGAGCTCCATCATTATGCTGCTAGTCATGGTGAGTTGTGTGCTGAATTACCAGAAGAGAGGCTCATGTGTCTTTTATTAAAATTCCTCATGTGTTGTTCCTCTAATCCGTGTACCTGGGAGTTTTACTGTAACTTTAATTTTACTGTAATTTATGTGGAGGAATGAACCCAGTGCTGTAACACCACAGGCAGCTGAGGAGAAGGCATTTGTTCTATAGATGAAGAACTTGAAATTAGAGGAATTTAATGGCTTTCTAGGTGACAAGTCTGTAGCAGACTCAGTGTGGATCCCAGGACTCTGGATTCCTTTTTTCCTGCTCTGCCTGCTAGACAGTGCTGCTTTGCTGCAGGAAAGGCTGCTGGCACTTCTGGGTAGTGTTTTCTATGTAAATGCAGCTAATAATATTTTAAGGAGCTGGAGTTGGGTGGTGTGTGTGCCAGGGAGCCAGGGCCTGAGCTTGCTATGGAGAGCAGTCTGTGAAGTGTTGCCAAGGTGGCTGGTCCTGAGCAAATGCCTTCAGATTTTCTAGGATTAAAAAGATGAACTGGGTGACTCTTTACAGAATTAATAAATTCACATTAGCACCTGGTTTCCTTCACAGTGCTGCTGCACTGCCTCTTGATATTAAAAGTTGCCCTTATAGGAGCAATAATGCAAATTATTTCTGACTTCATGGGGTGTTTCTGGCTCTGCAGTGTCCCTACAGCAGGGCTGGGTCCTTGGTTTGGATGCCAGGGAAGGAAGCTCTTTAACGTGTTAGGAGCTTGCCTTTGCATTAAATGTTACATCCCGGGTTGTGAGAGAGCCTTAAAATGGAATGATCTCTGTAGCTTCCAGCTGGAAGAGGCTGTATCCTGGCATATCCTGCAAGCCCCCTCGCTGCCTGGACAGAGGGCTGCAGCTCTGGACTGCCATCTATCGAACTGCTCCAGCTCTGGCCTTGCAGGAGTTGGCCTTTCTAGAGAAATTCAGTTCAGCCTGCACACACTAAAATCAAGGCACAGTAAGTTTGTTAGGAGAGCTTCATCCTTCAGCACCACCTGAGCTTTGTCTTCACCAGACAGTCGTAGTTAAACGAACTGGACATTGTTTTAGTTCCTCCACCAACCTCTCTGAATGGGAAATACATCTTTAGTAGTGAAAGCAGACATAATGCCACTTTCTGAAGCCCTGCAGCGTCCTTAGAGTCTGTTATCCTGGGCTTTGAGGGGATATTGTTTGGTGAGACAACATGCAAGGTGGGTGGTCATGTTTGCTTCCCTCTCCTGAGACACGAATGTTGTTTTCTAACAAAAAAGGAAGGTAGAGGATTTCTTCTTCTCCACTGTCTCTATTTTACCTCTTCTTTCCATCTCCCAGGCACCTCTGAGGAGGTGGCTCCTCCCCTCCAGCAGAGCTTCATGATCCCCAAAAAGGAGATAAACATGGTTTCCGACATGGCCAAGTGGAAACGCTCTCAGGTACAGCTCTGGGGTGAGGGGACACTGGGAAGTGCTTGTTGTGCTTCAGTGGCAGCCAGGTCTGGTGTGGGAACAACCACGAGGTAAAGCAGGTTTGGGCAAGTAATGGGAAATTCATTGATTTGTGTTTTAAAGCAGAAGAGTCTCTGCCTGCTTGTAGGAAAATGACTTGGCTGTGAGGTGTGGAGTCTGGCAACCAAGTGCTGTGACAGAGGAGTGAGCCAGGGAGAGCCCAGTGGTTCAGGGAGACCAGAGATACTTAAAAATCATTACTGCTCCCTCTTAACAATCTAGACAAAGAGCTGGTAACTCTTTAATCCCATCCAGCCTGGGTTTATCCAGCGCTGTTTGAACTCAGCTTAAGCAGGGTCCTGCTGCCAGGCCTTCCTGTAGCACCTGGCTGGGTTGGTTCCTGGGACCTTCCCACCTTCCAGTGCTGGAAGGGGCTCTAGAACCCAGGCTTTCAATTTCCTGAGTCGTTTTTATTTACAGAATGTGTGGAACTGGTGGAACAGGCAGGTTTTGCATTTGAGAGATTGATGTGTTGGCCCAGATGTGTCACACTTCTTAGGAGCAAGTTCTGGCTAGATGACTGATTTGTGACATCTTAAGAGAAGCCTAAATTGCAGCCAGGTCTCAAGCAGACCTCTTGGTGCTGCTTCCTTTGTTAAGACTCCTGGGTTTAAGGACTTACTCCTGGTCAGGATTTCTGTGCAAAAGAGGCCAAGGAGGAAGAGGAGGCAGCATGCTGGTCTGGTGTTTCAGAGACTTAGAGCTGTGGTGCTGTAGTGGGTATGATGCTTAAAAAACAGCAGATATAAAGGGAAGAGGTGAGGAGCCTGGGGTCTCCCACCTCTGCATCATGCATGGGGGTGGGAGAAGAGAAAAAGGAGGAAAGTGGAAGACAGCAGTGCAGGTCTGGGAGGAGCAGTGCTGAGCAGGGTGTCCAGGCACAGCTGAAACTCTGCATAGTTGAGGAGTTTGAATTTGACCTGATAGGAGGCAGGGAGCTGAGGGGAGGATTTCGGGGGCAGTGCAAGCTCTTTTAGGATTCTCCTCAGTAATTTTTACAGGGATTCTAGTGCAATCACCCCCTGCCTCAGAGGTCTGCCAAAACCAGCAGTAGCCTCTCAGCAAGCCCTGCAGCCTGGGTGTCTCTGAGAAAGCAGATTTTGTGTTAGGAAAGGTTCCCTTGGTGTGCAGGGATGCTCCTGGGCTCTGCTGCTGCTTCCAACAGTCTGGGTATTTGCTGATGTCCTGCTCTCTTGGGTGTTTTTGCAGGCATATGCAGATTACATGGGCTTCATCCTCACCCTGAATGAAGGTGTCAGGGGCAAGAAGCTGACGTGTGAATACAAAGTTTCAGAGGTAGGAGAAGAGTTTGGATCCTCATATTTCTCCTTTTATGCCTTTTTTTTTTTCCCCCCCCCCATCTATACAGAATATTTCCTAGGTGAGGGGTGTGTTGGGAGCTTCTCTGGGAGCCAGGGAGGATAAATGTGGTTGGGTTGTGCTGGGGGGATGCAAATGTCAGCCTGCAATCCTGCCCTCAGGATGCAGAGGCCCCGTGGGTGCTCTCTGGGTGGGAAATCAAGCAAGTTTCAAGTGGGTAGAAGCTAGTATTGAGAAGGAGGATGCAGAAGAGATACATTTTAACCTTGTTACCCAGCTCTCTCTGCTCCTTTAGCCAGTTTTAATGCCTGTGAACCTTATCAGGGCACAGCAGGATCATTGGGAGCCAGAGGGGAAGGGCAGGCACCCTCAGTGGTGTGACTGCCTGGGCTCAGCCATGCTCAGAGATGGCCTGAGGTCCCTCTGGGTGCTGCTGTGACCTGCAGAGCATATGTTGGCCACCAGCTTCACTGGATCCCATTGCCTTCTTCTGCATTGCCATGAGGACATCCCAAAACAGCATGTCCAAAGAAGGTCAATGAAGCTGATGATGGGTTTGGAGTTTGTCTTACTGACCTGACAGAGCTGTGGTTGTTTAGCCTGGAGAAAAGGAGGCTGAGGGGAGACCTGCCTTAAAGGAGGTTGTAAAGAGGTGGGGATCAGGCTGTTCAATGAAGTTACAAGTGATAGGATGAGAGGTGATGGCCTCAAGTTGTGCCAGGGGAGGTTTAGATTGGATGTTAGGAAGAGTTTCTTCATCAAAAGGGTTATCATGCACTGGGACAGGCTGCCCAGGGCAGAGATGGAGTTGCCATCCCTGGAGGTATTTAAGAGTCTTATAGAAATAGTACTGAGGGATATGGTTTAGTTAAGGGCTTGTCAGTGTTGAGTTCATGGCTCAACTCTGAACTTGAAGGTGTTTTCCAACCAAGGTGATTCTGTGGTTCTGTTATTTTTCCTGCTCAAACTTACCACAGTTCTGTGAGAAAGCTGGGAATAGTCTAAAAAGATCTGGGCAGAATGGGAAGCAGACTGAGCTCTGTGTGTTTATAGCTTCATTCTGGTGTGGGAAGGCAGCTTGTAATGATCTTTAACCTAGTCATTTATGTTTAAAGCAGGCATGTTAAGGCCAGCCTCCCCTTCTAGGAGGCAGTGTGTGAATGAGAAACTTGCTTGTAGTTCATGGGGGGTTCTGGGGATAATGAGTCCCTCCCCAACAGGCTTTGTGACCACCTTTTGTTCCTTCATTACAGTAGAAACTACTGTCAAATGCTGTTCTTGCTTTCCACTGTTTGCTTTTCACCTTTGAGTTTTGTCTTTGTAGTGATCTTGTGCATTCCCAACCATTCACAGAGCAGTTCTAGGGAAACAAAGCATTAAAAATTAGAAAAACAAAGGGGGGGGGAGGAGGGGGGGGTTGAAAAACCCTCTTCCCTCAACCCCTTTGAGCTGTCAGCTATCTAAGAAAAGCTGTATCAGGGTTGGGTCTGTGCAGAAGATCCCTTTTGGAGTGAATGTTTTCCATCCGTGTTCCCAGTCCAGGTGACAAATGAGACATGATCCTGACTGCTTGGGAAGGGGCAGGGAACATGTCTCCTTCCCCTTGTGTTGGGGAGAGCAGAAGCCTGTGACTGGAGGCACAGGTGGAGCATCCCCAGGGTTGCCTTGTTGATGAGATTGCCTGTTCACGCGGGTTCGTTTGTAGATCAAACTGCTTATGAGTGCTTTTAAAGGCTCAGCCCCTTGTGGCCTCTGCTTGCATCTCTGCTCTGCTTTCTTCTCCTCTGCTGTACCTGCTGCTGATGTGCTTTTGTGCTGGCCCATCTTCCTCCCTGATCAAATGCTGGGGACGCCTTTCTTTGGCAAATGACCTCCTGGAATCCTTTCTGCTGAATGTGTATCCTCTCCATGACTTACTGGTATTGCTGGAACGTGGGGAAAAAAATTAATATGGTCTGCTCTGCTTTGAAAGAGACAGCTTAATGGTTTCCAGAGCAGTGTGTGTCGATACCAAACTCCACTGGAGTGAGAGCTGGATCCTTTAGGGGCTAAGCCCCCTTTGAGGCTGGCTGAGCTTGCTGTGCTTTTACTGAAAAATTACATGGAGCTGTCTGGGCTTTTGCTGGAGGCATCTGACAAGCAGTGATAGCTGAGCTGTTGTTTAGGACTGGGGTGTAGAGGCAGTGTCTGGCTGTATGACTGATAGGCTGTGACCTGCCTCCTCCTCCTGGAGGGAGAGCTTCTCATGTGGGGATCATGCCGTGGCTGCTGGGGCTGCAGCCTGGAGTGGATTTTGAAAGCTGTGGCTTTGATCAGAGGAGCAGTGCAGCAAGGAGGAAGTTAATTTTGACCATTTGAGGAGCAGACCTTCCCTTCAAAGACCCTGCTGCACTGAGGGAAACCGCATGACCTCTGGTTCCAGCAGGGCAGTGGGGGAAGCAGCAAATGCCCTGATTTTAGCAGCTCTCCCTCTGACAGGACCTGAGGTACCTGCAGGGGCAGGCTTGGTCCCCGTGGCCAGCTTTGGCTGCTGTGATGCCTTCTCAGCACCTCTGCCTGCCTGGTCCCTGCTCTTGAGAGATGCTGACAGGTCTCTGCTCTGTAGGAGGTTCTGTGGTTTGCCTTTGGGACCCGTGGCAGACTCAGGGTCAAGGGGATGCAAAATCAGCACAACGAGAAGAGCAAGGAGAGCTGGGGGGAGGGTTGGGTGGAAAAAAGGCTGCCCTTGCTTTGATCACTGGAAAGGTAAAGCAAAAATAGAGCTTAAAAACCCAGTCAGGCAAAACAAGGCTGCAGTGGTGCTGATGGTTTGATTGCCCTAAGCTCTGCTCTTCTCCTCCTTCTCCCCCACTGAGGTCAGCCCTGGATGCACAAGTTTCCTCTGCTGGACAATGGGAAGCTGCTTCTTTTTGTAACCCCCTTTTGAAAGGGCTTTGAGCCCAAAATGAGCTGCATCTCTTTAATTATTTATTGGTGTGACTGAGCCAGCAGCTGGGTCCTGCTCTCCTGTGTTCAGCTGGGCTGGGCTTTTTAATCCCGTTAAAGCCAGAGTGGGGAAGGGGAGGGTGAGCTCCCCTGCTCCCCAAGGCCTGCAGGCAGAGCTGGGGAGGGGGAAGGAGCTGGTCCTTGCCAGCCATTTATCCAGGCAGCACCAAGTACTGGCTGAGAGGGGTTTGAAATACGGTGGCGGCTCATAATGAGCTGCTGGTGCCGGCAGATAAATCACCAGCACGATTTAATTATTTAATGCAACCCAGTGCTGGGGCCGCTGGTGCTTAATTGGAGGGGAATGCAATGGCCAGGGAGGAGGAGAGCTGAGTTCAAGCCTGGACCAGTGCAGTGGGGAGGCACTGGGTTTCTGCAGGGAGGTGGAGTGGAAGAGGGTGAGCAGCCTTGGTCCATGGGAATCTGGGGCTCTGGCCCATTAGGGGCTCCAGCTTACAGCCTCACCAGAGTGTCTTGTCCCCTGTGTCACTTGGGTCCTTCATGTTCCTGGTGTGCTCAGGTCTTATCCCCTATGCCAGCCTCTAGCCTGGCTCAGTGGCCAAGTGTCAAGGTCCTGTGGATCCCTGCTCTGCCTGATCCCACATTCTGATGGCTGATCCCACCTTGTCCTTGGCTCCTGAGGAGCTGCTGTGTGTGGGAGGTTGTGTCTATCGTGAGACCCTTCCTCCTTGGAGCAGAGGGCATGGGAAGTGATCGCTCTGCCATGCCTGTCCCTCTACCTACCCCCTTCCAGTGGTGCTTCAAGGGCTGGAAACTTGCTGGGCTTGGCTGTTTCCTCGTCCTCCCAGCAGGCAGCATGAAGGATTGAACCACAGCCCAGGAGACCAACCTGCTTCACACGGTCGATGCCTCCAGCAAAGTCAAACCAGCCGCTGCTTCTGCTGTCCTCTTTGTCCCCTTGAAGGAGGAATCCCCTCTCGAGACAGAGGAGTCTACATTGCCTGGGGCCTGGCCAGCTGCTGTGGTGGCTGATGGCTCTCTGGCTGCTTGCAGGGGGGTGAGGAGAATCACAGAGCCTCTGGCAGGCTTGACCAGTTGTCAGCAGAGCCTCTTAAAACTGTTTGGAGCTGCTTAAAGTGCTGCTGCTTGGTGCCGCTTGTCGGGTAGTAGCCATTTCCCAGCTGTGTGGGCAAGGCAAGGAGGAGGCTGTGGGCACTAGCCAGCCCTGGTCCTAACAGTAGAGCTTGAGACACTGTGTTTTATTGCCTGTTTTACCTCTCTTCTTTTCCTTCATGGCCACAGCAATGCCTCCTCCAGTCACTCTCATATGTCCTACATAGGTTCCTCACTTTCTCCTTCGAGCACTAGGTGTAAGAAAGATAGCTCTGTTGTCCTGCTGTTGCATTTGTCATCTCATCAGCTTTGTGTTTCTGTTGAGACATTCCTCTGAGAGCCAAGAGCTTCTCCAGCTTGCTCTGATGAGACCATTGGTGGGCAAACCAGGCTGCCTCTTCCCCTGGGTAGGTTGTATTTTGCTACGGGCACTGGGCATCCCTGGGTTGGAGCTGCTGTAGCAGTCTGGATGGTGTGAGCTTGAAGCAACAGGAAGGCTGAAGGTACATGGGGTGCTGTACAAATGCTGACACCATCACTGCTAATCTGGCTCCTAAGAGACTCTTCAGGACAAAGATTAGAGCCCTTTAGAAGGGTCTTTAAATCACTTCATCAGCCACTGGTGAGGATACTTGTGAGTGCTGTGCTGTATCCTGTGGGGGATGCAGGACCCTCAAGATGCAGAGCCTGAGTTTGGTGTTGAAGATCCCTGAACTGTGTAGCACTTTACTGCTTCTCATCCCTGCATGCCCTACAGCTAGGAGTTTGCTGGAGCTCTTTTCCCAGAGGTTTTAGAGCACACTGCTGTTACAGCACATGAAAGACTGTGTGGGCGACTGGAGAGCCTGCCTCAGGCTGGGCTTTGTACTGGACTGATCTTCTGGGGGAATGGACACTTTTTTCCCCCACCTCTGCATTTTGGGTGGGTTGGCACATCCCTCTTCCACTCTCCACCCTTAGGAAGGATGATACGGGCTTGAATGACTCGAGTCCAGGGCAGAGGGGTTGGAACCTGAGGGACTGCTCTGATTTATGTCACTGTGACCCCTCATCTTTGTCTCTGTAGCCCATTGAAAAGCTGGTGGCTCTTCTGAATACCCTTGACAGATGGATTGATGAAACCCCACCAGTAGATCAACCTTCTCGATTTGGGAACAAAGCCTTCAGGACCTGGTACTCCAAACTAGACCAGGTGAGTGTGTTCTCCATATGCAGTGGTACAGGCAGCCCCTAGAGAAGGGCAGTGTGCCTAGCCAGGACAGCAGGATGGCTCTGTCATGGTGTGGCAGCCAAGCAGCCAACAGAGGAACTGCTCAGATAAGCTGTGCAGGAGCCACCTCTTGATATGCATCACTTAGCCCTGACCTAGTGCTGTCTTCTCTTTTCATGAGAGCATATGGTCAATGTAAATGCTCTTGGCTGGGTCTCCAAATCCTGGATGGTCCATGAGGGCACCCCAAGCCCAGGGAACTCCTTTGCTTTGTAACTGCCCACTGTGTCTGTTAGCTGCTGGGTGACACACAAAATCAGAGGAGGGCTGTGAAGCTACTTGACTTCGTTCTTCTCGGAGCACTTGCCCTGCAGCAAGCTCTGGAGGTGGCACAGGCACAGACCCAGCAGCAATGAGCTTGCAGATGGTCTGCTGCTCTCTCAGGGCTTTTTTCCTGGAGATGACTCAGTGGGTGACTGGGCTGATATACTTGGATGGTGAACCTTTATTTTCCTGCAGGATGCCTATGGCCTGGTTAAGTGTCAGGTCAAGCTCTCCCTGAGATGCTCTATCTCTAGAGATGATCTCTTCAACAGGAGAATGTGCTCCCCTGTCATGCTTGCTCTGGCCACTGCAGCAGTGCAGCCCCCACTCTGCAACAGTGTCTGAGCAGAGGGTGACTCTTTTCTGGGAACTGTGACATCTGTGGTCACTGGAGGATTTCTATGTCTTTCAGGAAGCAGAAAAGTTGGTGGCAGCAGTGATCCCCAAGCATTTGGCTGATGCTGCACCTGAAGTGGCCATGTACCTGAAGGAATCCGTGGGGAATTCTACCCGCATTGACTATGGCACAGGTACTTGGGCATCCCTGCTGGGCTCCCTGGGGCTGTCACCTTTTGGAACCTGCTGCTGCATGGATGCAAATCTGTTATTGCCACTGTTTGTTAGTGCCAGGTTGGTACAAACACCTTCCTTCTAAGGCCTCCTTGCCCTGTGTCCAGTGTGGGCTGTGGCTGAGAGAGCTGGGGCTGGCAGCAGGGCTGGGCTGGAGCTAAGACACCCTTTTCATGTCTCATCCAAGGAGATGTGAACCTAGCTGGGCAAACTGTTCTGGGATAAGCTGTAGGAGCTGCTGAACTGCAGACAGCAATCCTGCTGATCTGCAATAGGCAGCTTAGAGGGATAAAATATAATTGTTTGAGTTGGAACTAGAGTGGGAACCAACTTTGTGTGCAGTGGTAGGTGGCTTGAGGTCTGGTGCTCTGTAGAAGTGGCATCACTGCTTACAGAGGGGTGTTGAAATCTGGAGGTAGAAGCATTTTGCACCTCAGGAGACCTCAAATTGCAGGTTGGAATAACTACACTGGCTTCATTTAGACCTAAATGAAGAATCACCTCCGTGCTCTGCTCCCTTGTCTGGAGGACAGGTGGTGTGCTGAGGACAGTGTCCTCACCCAAAGGCAGGAGAGCAAGACTCTGGGGGTGCAGGGACACACGACTTTGGACCTGGGCAGAGAGGAGGAGGACATGGGTAAGATGAAGAGCTGGAGCTGCGACGCGCCGGCACCAGGGGGAGATGTTGTCTTTGTAAAGGGACCCACTGGCTGGGGTTTTGTCGGCTTAGGGAAGGAAATTCAGCCTGTCCTCCCCTCCTGTGTGTCCCAGGCCAGTGACCCATGTCCTAACACAGTGGCTGGACCATAGGAGCACTTTGTTCCTACACTGGGAGCTGCACTTCTTCATAGCATGGAGCTGCTCATCTTGTACCCTCCCTTCTCCCCTAAAAGACACTGCTCTTGGTTTGCTGGTTGTTTCTTTTCCTGGCTCTTAGCTGGGAGGCCAAGCTGCAGAAGCTTAGCCTGAGATCCCAGTGCTGTGACTGACACAGACTGTTCCCAGCAGTGTCATGGGATCTGCATCATTTTGACACAGATATTTTTGAAGCAGGAGGAAATCTCTTTACTTGCAGCTGTGAGCTTCTCTGGCATCCCTCAAGCAGACAACTCTGTGGTGCTCCACTTCTCCTGCTGTGCCAAGCTCCTGGGAAATGCCCTACCTTACTCCCAGCACATCCAGTGTGGAGCTGTTTTTCCTTAATAAATTCTTGGTTTTTTTCCTCAGAGTTAGTAATCACCTTATGAATGTCTAGAAGACCTACCTTGGGTAGGTGCTGTGTGGGGAGGAAATATTGTCAGCTGTGGCTTTAACAGGATGAGGTAGCACCTTAGGGACAGCTCTCTAGGACTTTTGAAGTGGGGAATGTGGCTGCTGGGTTTTCTGAAGAGCCATCATGGTGCCCACAGAAAGGTTATGTTGGGGACCAGAGACACCAGTGTCACATCTCTTTGTCTCTTTCCACTCCAGGGCATGAAGCTGCATTTGCAGCTTTTCTCTGCTGCCTCTGCAAAATCGGTGTGCTCAGAGTGGATGACCAGATGGCCATTGTCTTTAAGGTGTTCAACAGGTGAGGTAATGGAAGGAGAAGGGCTGGAAGCACTGAGCTGTGTGGGGGCAGGTCCCTGACAATGTCCCCTTCCAGCTGTCTGAGGTGTGTGAGATGTGACTGCCTGTTCTGTACACCAGACTCCTCCTGTAGTCTGGGCTGATTGTGCCCCTTTCTTCCACTCAGCCAGAAATGGTAGGAGGAGCCTCCTCCTGGGCAAATCAAGGCCCTCCTACAAGGACATGGAATTAGATAATGTGGGTGCTGAAGAGCTTGCTGGCCTGGGGAAAAAGGGCACAGTGGGAAAACTGAAGACAAATTCAGGCAAAATTAAAAGGCAGATATACTTTTTAATGAACTGTAGAGTGACCCATTATAACTATCTCTAAGAGAGGTGATGACACCTTATCTGTGAGAGGCTGAGTGTCTTTCTGGCAAGTTATTTTATTTGAGCACAAGTTATTGAGCTCTGCAGAGGTATGTGGGGGAAGCTTTGTGATAGGAATATCTGATCAGAGGATCTAACATTTCCTCTTCAGGCATTAAAAAGAATAATAATCTATGAAGGTCTCTACTGCTCCTCTGGATGTGTTTCCAGCTCAGGAGGTAGAGTTGGTAGTGATGAAACTGATGAAATGGGTGTTTAGAGTCCAGAGATGTAATCCCAGTTGTGTCATTGTTTGGTGGCTTGGAAACTCTTTCCTCCAGTAGTACTTCCAGCTTTAATTTTCCACCTGGAAAATGGAGGTAGCAGTTGCCATAACGTGTAAAGCTTTCTGAGCTCTTTTGGAAGTTGTTGAAGGAGAGCAAAGTGTCAGTGTGGGGCTAGGGAAAGCTCTCCACCAACATAAGACACTGGAGATAACATAAATGCCTGCTGCTTAACTTCTTAGTGAACTTGGTGTAAAAAAAACAAAACCCAAACCAACCAATTTTTAAAAGGTGCTGGGATTTGCTCCTGTAGGTACCATCCCACTGCTTTCTGTGGCAAAGGAGCTGAAGATGTTTTTTATGTACTGTGACATATGTGGAGGTCCTGCTTGCAGGTGATAAAGTTGTGTCCTTCTCCAGACTGGTTGTTCTTGTCCTCCTGTAAGTCAGTGAAGACAGAAGAAGGCCTTGTCTTAACCTTTCCTTCTCTCTTTGGTCTCAGGTACCTCGAAGTGATGCGAAAACTTCAGAAGACCTACAGGATGGAGCCTGCTGGCAGCCAGGGCGTGTGGGGCTTGGATGACTTCCAATTTCTACCTTTCATATGGGGCAGTTCCCAGCTGATAGGTACTAATAAACATTTTGTCCTGTCCCAGCCTGTCTCCTGCCCCATCTGTCCTGGTTGCAAAGATGATGGGGCTTGGGACTGGCTTTTAAATTCATCTATGTCAAATCTGTGTAAAATATAGCAGAAGGGTTTGCTTGGGGCTTGGGTTTTCTTTCTTTTCTTAGCTTTCCAAAGAAAGTTAATTGCTTGAGTTGGTAGGTGGAAGCCTTCCTGGTACAATACATCTATCTCTACTGCAATGACTACAAGCTTTTTAAAAGGAGGGTCTTGGTTTTGGGGGTAGAAAACACGTTTTCTGCTGTGGGGAGTTTACCAGGTGCTCTCACTGCTGAGGCACTGGAGCGGGAGATGAGATGGAAGGGAGCAGCTCCATGCTGACTTCTAAAGAGCTCTGATGGGAGGATTGTGTATCTTCTGGAAGAGGAGCAGGACAAGATGTGATTTAACTTGGTCTCAGAATGGGGGTGCTATACAGGTTACTTCCTGTTGTCTCTTGCTCCTTTCAGACCATCCAAATCTGGAGCCTCGACACTTTGTGGATGAGAAGGTGGTAAATGAAAACCATAAGGACTTCATGTTCCTGGAGTGCATCCTCTTCATTACAGAGGTGAGGACTGGGAGGTTTGTCCCACAGGGAAGTTATCTTGGTCTTAGACACTCAGCTCTGGCTGTGGTTTTGTTCTTCCTCCTTTCTTGTTTTCTCTCATGGAACTGTGAGGATGAACCATTGTTGCATGTCTGAGATGCACTCCTAGAATGAGTGGAAACAGGGGTGTTGAGAGGAAAGTGTAGTTGAGCTGGATGGGGTATGGATTGCAGTTGAAAGGAGCTGTAACAAGAGCAAACAAAGAACCTTGAATCAACACCTGGATCAGTCAGTGGGAACGTGGATGGAGAAGACTGGTGGAAGATGAAGTAGGAGCTGCAAAACAGCTGGACTTGCCAAGATAAGCTCCCTTCTCTCCAGCCCTTGGGTGTTCCTTGGCAGGCCCAGGGTCTCCCCTTGCTTAGGGCAGGCTCCCAAACCTCTGTGTAGCTTGATCTCCAGACTCTACCCAAAGATTTGCCCATTAAATGTGTCTTATTTGCAAATGGTCTAGAGCAGAGGTGGTGCTGAGGTTCACCCAGCAGGCAGTGCTGTCAGGACCATATTTCAGCTCAAGGACTGCAGGGCTGTAGTTGTCTGGGCAGTGTTTCTCACTGAGGGAGCTCGAGGCTTTCTGCCCTCAGTTGCAGGGGGTGGCCTGGCCATGTTTCTGCATTCCCCCTTGCTGTCTAGTCTGAGCAGGGAGAGCAAGAGCCACGTGCTCTGTTGTGGTGAGGGATTTCTTGTCTCTGGCAAGAGAAAGTTGATGGGATTTATTTTGAAGAGCAGAGTTTGGTGCTTCCCCTTTGGCTTATCCCCCCTTCTTGGTTCTCTAACTCAGTGATTAGATGAGAAAGGAGGTTACAGAATATGAGTTTAGCCTTTCATTTAGGAAATTTTGTAGGAGCTTTTGGCCCAAACCCCAGGAAATGCTGTGTCAAATCCTGCTGAATCTAGGAGGGTTTGTTGGTACCCAGCACCTCACAGGATTTAACCCTTAATGCAGAGGTAAATCATGCCATGGGTAGTAAAGAGGTGCTGGAGGAAGAGATCAAGATGAGGACAAGAAGGCAGAAACCAAGACACTCGAAGATTTTTTTCTTGTAATACCCAAATGTTCCATTAGCCTGTTAAAACATAAAAAAACTAAGTGTCTCTTGACATGTGTGTAGAAAATTCTGCAGTGCATAGGTGGCATGTGAAGTTTAAAGTGCACAGCATCATCCTGCATCTTCAGGTCACTCTGCTTTTGCCTGCAGAAAGCTGGCTGCTTAGTAGGCTTTAAGTGATTTCACTTCTTTTTCCACACATTCGTTGAGAATCATGGAATTGGGTGTTGCTGTGGAGTTCCTCAGTGCCACCTGGTGGCAAGGAGCCCTCCTCTCGGGCCCTCCTGGCAAGAGGCACTGAGGGATGGCAACAGCCTGGATTATCAAATGCTTGATATTTTTAATCCAGCTCTATGCAGGCACTGTTTCTGTTTTATAAAGATTTTGCCTTTAAAGTTTTATTTTTCTCTTTCCCAAATGCCTGGGAAGGTTGGTGTTGCCACTAGGTGGGGCTGAGGCAGCCTCCAGTGCCTCCCAGTGCTTTCTCTCCAAAATCAACAACAAAACAAAACAGCAGGAGAAAACATTGGAGGGATTAAAGACTTTAATAAAAGAACGATGTTCTTTTCTTCTGAGCTTGTCAGATGGAAGCAGCTCTCCTTTAAAGGAGTTGAACCTGTAGCAAAGACCCCAACAGTTCCCACAATGGGTCTAGTGTGTCTTACCAAAAAGAGAGCAGGTTTTGTTTCAACAAGCTGTAGCTGAGGTAGGTTGTTGTCTTTCAACCAAGGGAATAATCTCTTGAGCAGATATTTATGTGGGTGACGTTTCAGGGATGTGAATATAAACTGTCATGGTGTTTGCCACATCTATGTTTAAATCTAAGGCTCTTAAAAGTAGCAGCAAGATGATAAACCCTCCGAGGCATCCTCCTTACAGCAGCAGGCTGGTCTGCTCTGGGAAAATCTGCAGGGTGGTTTTTGCACCTGAACGTGTGGTTCTTGAATTAGGGTGAGGTTGATGGAACAGGAGCTATCCCCCTGCTGCCACCTTGCCTGTCAGGGTGTGCTGGGGTGCCCGTGGTACCCAGAGGGGTGAGGATGAGGAGGGTCAGCTACAGTGGGGGCTGTGAGCCCAGGAGTGGCAGGGCTGGGGGGGTTTGTGCAGGAGAGGGGTGCTGGGTACACCCAGGCTGTTGCAGCGGGTCGGTGCCATCACCCCAGATCCTCCTCCGAGGGCCCAGGAGGAATTTCAGCTTCAATCTGGCTTCTAAATCTGGAGGTTTGGGAAGGGAGGGCTCGGGTTTCTGCTGGAAGGGAAGGAGCTGACAGGAAAGCACAGCCTCAGCCATCCCCCTCCCCCCCGGCACTGACAGAGGAACCATTTACAAAAGGCCGATTCTCTTGGGAACCGAGAGGCAGGAACGCCGCGTCTGTGAGTAATTTCCTGCTCAATATGGCTGCTCTGACTCACTCTGTTCCCCTGGGGTCACTGCGGGACTGCAGCACTCACTGCCTCTCGCTTCTCCCCCCACACACAGCTCTCCCTCCTCGCCCTTTGTGGCTGGCAGGAGATGATTTTTGTTGTTGTTGTTGTTCCCCGGTCATTCCTTCCCCAGTTCCAAACCATGGCAAAGCCATCCCTTCCCAGGTACCCTGGGTGAGGAGGGCTGTGGTGGTGGCTGTGCCAGGTGCTCGTGTGAGTGAGGGACCAGTCCATGTTTCCCTCCTCCACACTCTTCTCCATTACACTCTAGCTTGGGAAAGGGGGGGAGAAGCAGAGCACGGGGATGGTGGCTGATTCAAGCTGTGCCCCTGTGGAGGTTGGCAATGCTGGAGGGGAGGTTTGGCATCGGAACACGTGCAAGCAGATCTCCCCTGGGTGGCTGAGCTTTGGGCCCAGCACTGGGCTCCTCAGCAACCCTGCACTTGGTGCCCACCAGTGCCAGGTCCTGGTGCTTCACAACATGCTGGCTCTGCCAGGTAAGATCCTGCTTTGTGCGTCTGTGCCTTCCATCTTGTATCCAAGCGGCTCATCCGTCATCCCCCCCAGCTCACAGGAGCAGCCAAGGAGAAGGGGGATTTGTCTGTGCTCTCCCAGTAGTGGGCAAAGCTACACACCCGTTTCAGTTAGTGCTCCAGCCCTGAGGTCAGCGGGTTGGAAACATGTCCCCAGCCAGTGGGGTTTTTCGGTTCCCCCCACCATTCGCCTCTTTCTTTGCTGTGCCACACAGACCTTGCACAAGGGCAGCAGCAGTTTCCCAGAGCAGATTGATCGGCCTTGCTGGCTCTTACACAAGGCAGAGAGGTGGTTGGGGAGGCTCTTTTCCCACCCTCGCTCCAGGCCTGTGCATGTGTGGAGGGTTAGTTGTTCAAGCCCTGAGTTGAGAACAGGAGTCCAAGAGATTCTTCTCTTCCCCACGCTCCTTTTTAGCGTGAGCTTCAGTCTTGTGGTTTCTGATGTCATGGGAACTTCTCTCAGTCAGAGTGGCTGCCTTGTGTTTCTCCTTCTCCCCGAGGGTCTGTTTTTGTTCATGGAGGAGAAGGAGAGACAACTACCCAGGGAATTAACATGCAACTGTCCCTGATTGCAGCTTCCCCCCTGCCTTCCCTCCTCCAAACCCCTTGCCCAGGGAGGAGAAACACTGGAGTGTAAAGAAAAAAAAAAGAAGAACATAAATTAGAAAAAAAAATAATCTAAAGCATCTGCTGCAAGCTAGGAACTCACAGCTCTGGAGATGGTTTGGAGAGCAGGATTGGAGCATGTCCCCTCTGCTCTTGCCTCCCCCGGAGCCCTGCTCTGCCAGAGGCAGGTGTGGAGTGGGCTGTGGACACCGGAACTGCTGCCAACCTGCCTGCCCTCTGTTCAGGGGAGGCAGTGGCTCTTGTCACTGCTTCTTGTTGTTGATCTGAATGGGGAATGAGTCATTTTCTTGGAAGGCTCATCAGTGCTGCACTGGGAGGTTTCTGGGTAGAATAGGAACAGCGATGAGCCAAGGTCTGCTTAGGGGGAGAGCGGGATTTACGTGGGGCTTTTAAAATGCAATCATTAGAAGGGAGGTGTGTGGAGGGAGGTCTGATTAGGAAAGCGTGGCAGGAAAAGGCTTGGTTTTATCAGGGAAGGGGGGGAGCTGGATTGCCACGGCTTCATGTGATGTGGCTGCAGTGGAGGGAAGGAGGGAGGGAGGGAAGGCGCAGTGAGGTGGCTGGTGCGTGGGTCACAGGGCTTGGTGGGAATGTTTGCTTGGAGAGAGTGTGAGTGTGAGTCACTGCTGGTGCACGAGCTTCCTGGCTGGCCCAGCTCCCTCAGCCCTGCTCTTGGGTCTCTTTCAGATGAAGACAGGCCCCTTTGCTGAGCACTCCAACCAGCTCTGGAACATCAGCGCTGTGCCCTCCTGGTCCAAGGTCAACCAGGGCCTCATCCGCATGTACAAGGCAGAGGTGAGCACTGTGGGCAGGGGATGCTGCCTGGCCCCACACCTCCTCCTTCCCACCTCACTCTGGCTCAGCTCTTCTCTTCTTCTCCTTGGCGTGGGGGCCCTATCACAGCTCGTTGCTCCCCATGTTGAATGTGGCTTGGGACCCCTTGGCAGTTCAGGTGCTGCTGGCTAGAAGGAGGCTCCTGCCTGCCTAGTGTTTGCCCCAAAACCAATCCCATGGCCCAGTGGCCATTTCTTGAATACATTACTTTTGCCATTTCTTGTCTTCCCATAGTGCAAGTTGCAGGTCTCCAAATTAGGGCTGATGTCTTGACCTGCTCGTCCTTCTGGTGCCTCCACTGCTGTTTTACCAGCTGGAAGAGACTTGGTTTAAATTTTCATCCCATGTTTCAAGAGCCCCAGGGCAGGCTAAACACTTCCTACTGACCTCCCCTCACTGCACATCCCATTGGTGCTGGACCAGTGAGGCCACAGCTGCCCCTGGCTGGGCAGCCAAAGCCTGTCCAGGCTCTGCTGGCACTGCCCCAGCAGGTTTTCCTGCCAAACCCCGACCTGGGGGGAGCCAGGCAGTTTTGGCTCTCCCTTATCTCTCCTTCCTGCTCAAGCTAACCCTGAGCTGGAGGAAGCAGGACAGGAACTGCCACATCTGGGTGTCCGGAGGGAACAGCTGACAGGCAGCATCTCTTGCTGGGAAGGATGGGACCATGCTGGGAGTCACCCTGGAGGAGCAAGGGTGGTAGGGCAGGGATGGCACAGCTCCCTGGTGCACCCGGGGAGACCAGTGGTGCTTGAAGGAGTTAATCCCATGGGAAGTGGTCCCTGCTCCAGTCAGCCATGCTCCTGTTGCTGGGTCATGCTGGCAGCTCCGCTCAGGCCCCGCGCACAAAGGGGTTAACTGAGCCGGACTCTGCGCTCCCTCCCCCAGCCCTTCCTCTGCTCTGCACATCCTGTGTTTAGGTTCCAGGCCACATACCTCTCTAATCTGTGAGGTGTCACTCCCAGGCCCTGGCTCCTTCCGCCCCCAGCTCAGTTTTCCTCCCGGCCTCCAAAGAGGAGGAGCAGGGCTGGGGGTCAACCCCCTCTGCTGGCTGCTCCTCGGAGAGGTGCCCCTGGGCTGCCCCTGCTCACAGCTCCATCACGGGGCTGGAGACTCTGCCTGTGGGAAACCCTGAGCTGGAGGCTCTGGTGTGAGAGCTGGGGAGGCTGAAGGGCGGACCCCTGTGCTAAGAATGCTGTTGAAATGGAACATGGGTCCCCTAAAACCTAGAGCCTGAGCTTGGTCATCTGCTGCCTCAACGGCCCTGCCTTGGTCCTTGCTTTCATGGAATCATTTAGGTTGGAAAAGACTTTTAAAATCTTGGAGTTCCTTTGGAGCAGTCCCTTCCCACACTATTTGGGTGTTCCCCTCGCACCTCACATACCCCATGGTATTTGGGTACTCCCACCTGGTGCCTCACATGTGCCACCTCATGCACCATGGACTGCCAGAGGAGCTTGGCAGTGACATGCCCAAGGTGCAATATGCATGTCCACTGATGTCAGGGAGCCACCATGTGCTGGCAGATCTCCCTGGCCTGCTGGGGACACTGGACTCTTCTAGAGAGAGTGGGAGATTCTCTAGCTCTTTTCAGTGCACCCAAGACATGGACTTTTCTGGAGGCCTCAGTCTGTTTTGAATAGCAGATGACATTCTGCATGGAAATGCCAGATCCAGTACTGTTTGGTTTCTAGAAGTATCTAAGATGTAGCTGTGTCAAGAGGAGGAAGCAAAAACTGCTAAGAAGAATAACAACACAGGCTAAGGTGTAGGAAACATTGAGTCAACCAGAGCACTTTAAATTTAGGTTTTTTCCTCAAAGAACATTTGTAGGTCTTAAAGTGCTATTCCTAAGCAAATGGTCCTCATGCAGCAATGACTTCTCTTGGCACTGCATGGAGCCTGTGTTCACCTGAATGGGCAGAGGAGAGGGAGGACTCCCAAGGAGGAGTCTTTACTGGTTCTTGATACCTGCTCTGGGGAGTCTCCCACCTGGCTGCTGGCTCAGCTGGTTCCTGCCTGGCTTGGGAGATGAGCATGGACATGGCAGTGTCTGGAGAGAGCTTTCAGCTATGGTGTGCTTGGCCATGCAGCTTGTACCAACATTTGTAACTAGAGGATCTCTTTGATTGGATTTCTGGGAAGGACATGATGTTCAGGAGGTGCTGAGGCTTCCCCCTTTGAAAATTGAATCCTTCTGGGTGTTTCAGGCTGGGCACCCACAGTCACTGCTGCAGGTCCTGGCTCCCGGAGGAAGTTTCTGCTCAGTGTTCCCAGTTATGTTGCTTTCACCCTCGTGGTCTTTCTCCGATTGGCCACTGCCAACATTAGCAGAGGATAAGTGAGCCAGCAGACCCCAAGTGCTGACATGGATCTTTGTCCAGCTCAAGGTAGGCAGCTTCTGTGGCAGAGCTCAGAGCATGTGACAGTAAAGAGAGGGAAGGTTTGGGGTTGTGCTGTTGCTTTCTGTCTGACTGGCTAAGGTGAGTTCAAGATTTTCTTCCTTTCTTTTTTCCCCCTCCCTTCTCTCTGCCCTTCTGATCACCTGTTGCAATTAGATCAGGTGAAATCAGACACTCAGGTGGAGGCTCCAGCTCCTTAATGGGTCTGGGGTGACTGAAAGTCCTAGGGCCAACTGTAAAGGGGCTTTGAGTGGAGGCAGCAGCAGGGCCAAGGGGTCACTTGCTAGATGCAGACCAGGAGAAACCAAATTCTCACTTGAAACCTGCTCTCCCTTGGCAGGAGCAGGGCAGTCCCCAGACTGGTTCATGTTAAAGGCACTCTGGTTGCTTTGTCTCTGCCTTGTCCCCTCTGTGGGGTGACTTTAGACAGTTGGCAGAAAGCTCAGGGGTGTGTGTGTGGCTGGGAGCTCTAGCCTGGATCAGGCACTCCAGGGTGCTGGCTGCAGGAGCTCTGGATGGGCAGTAGACTGAAGACAGTGTGTCTTCAGCTCTGTGTGTTTATGAAGTCTCAAATGTGTCTATTTATAATATAAATATAATGGGTGAAGACATGTTAGCTTGGAAGAGCAAGGGGTTTTCTTATTCTCTCCATCAAAGGCGAGTGAAGAAGCTGACAGAATAGAGTGTGGTTAAAGCAGCAGCCTTGATGTTTTTCCCCTGAGCCAACTTTTGAGTCTCCTGACCTTTCCTTCTCTGCTGCATTCAGTTGGGAAATACTTTCCATTGTAACTAATCTAGTCTTAGTTCCATCTTTAAAGGTTGGACCCAGAGCATGTGCTTACTCCCCAGTTGAGTCCCAAGCCTGCCCTCAATATGATCAAGAAGAAAAATAAATCTGTCCCCTCTGTTGAGTTAGTGTTGGCTAAGATTCACCCCCAAGTGGTGCAAGGAGGGTCATGTCTTTTGGCAGGTTTAATAATCCAGTCAAATTGTGCTCATCCTGCTGGATAGAGGAGGAAAAGTTTCTCTGCTTCTTTCTTCTTGGGTTGGTGATGTATCAGGTGGAATGGATACCAATTCTTCCCTCTGATGGTAAAGTCTTTTCATCTGGAACCCAAACTAGTCTCATCTTCCATGGGATGTCTTTCAGCTGGTTGGGCTGACATTTCTAGCTGTCAACAGCTCCAATATTAATTTTCCCTGTTCTTCCCTCATGTCACTGCTGTCCAGCACTACTGCTTCTGAGGGGTTGTCTAAGTGGGTGTGCTGGAAGATGGCAGCTCTGAGCATCCCACACATTAGGAAGCTTTGAAGGTGCTGTGCCCAGATGGTCATAGGACCTTGGTGTCTTGCTGTGGAGGCTTGTTTTCTGCAGGGCTGTTATTCCCCAGGAGGGGATAGGGCCCTGCTGCACTTGCACCATCTCCAGACTTGCTTTGGTTCCAGTGTGCTTGCAGTTTACTTCTGCCTGCAGAAACGAGGTGATCACCACCTCACTGGCCATGCCCACAAGCATCCTGGTAAATGAGTCCCTGTTGCATCCTGGTGGGGTGGCCTACAGGCCTTGTCTAGCACAACCTCTCAGAGAGAACGTGGGTGATGTTGGTGTAGATGCAGCTGCTGGGTTGGTGAGCACCTACTGCTGAGGTTTGTGTGTCTGGAGGTCAGTCTGCTCTGTGCTCTCTGAGCTTTGGAAAGCCTAAGTCTGTAGTGGCTCTAAAAAACAGAGCTCTGGGTGGCTCTGGCAGGTGGGTGGCAGAGGTTTGACAGGGTTACTGACCCTCATGCCCTGGTGGGATGGGGAGCAGAAGGGGCGGTGCCCTCACAGTCCAGCTCTCCCTGCACAGAGCCTGGTAGTAGCTGGACAAAGCAGCTCTGAGCTCAGCTTCCTCATAGTGGACATTTATGACTGATCTGTGATCCATGTTCCCTCCAGCCTAACTCTGCAGTTGTGGGTTGGAATTTCAGGGGCAAGGAGTTGTTGGGAATGGGATCCCATCTTGAACTATGGCAGCAAAATCACCAGTGCTTCTCTGTCAAAGACCTGAGGATGCAGAATGCAGTTTGGGCAGTGCCTGGTGGCTGAAAGATGGTGCCTTGAAACTGGAGCATGGGCACCATCCTGGGGAGGGAGAATCTCTTCCCTGGGGAGTTTCTGCACTTCTCAAAGGGTTTGTTGGGTGAAGCTCTTCAAAGAGATCAGCTCGAGCAATGAGAGGTGGTGAGAGGGAAAGCTGCTGACATAAACATGCCTCTTCTGCTCATGCTCCAGGCCTGGATTTCAGCAAGCTCTGCTTGCAGGGAAGGGGATGAGGTTATGAAGTGCCCCTGCCCTGTGGAGCCTGCCAGGAATGTTTGGGGAGCCATGGGACTGATCCCTCTGGCTGCACCTGAGCCGAGTGGCCCCAAGGGCGCTGCCTCCTGACCCCAGAGGCAGGATGTAGCTCTGCTGCCTGTGCAAGGTGGAAACGTCTCCTGAACTCACTCCTCTTTATCTCCTCTCCTGCAGTGCCTGGAGAAGTTTCCTGTGATCCAGCACTTTAAGTTTGGCAGCCTGCTCCCCATCCAGCCCGTGACATCCTAAGGAGGAGGCGGGAGGAGCCGATGCAGCAGCGGAGACGAAGCTTCGAGATCTTCCTCCTCCCCTCACCCCTCCTCTCACCCTGCCCGGCACACACAGCCCATCCATTCCCCCATATCCTCATCGGCAACCACGGATCCAAAGCACTCACCGGCCTTCCATGGGAGGCAGGACCTGGAGTGGCTCCTCCTGCAGGTCCCCAGCACAGGGACGTCTCACCAGTGACCGAGGCCGGGCTGTGCTTCCCGCTCTGCTGCAGCCGCGCTCTGGCCAAGGATGGGTCTGGGTGTGTGGATGGGGTTGAGTAGGGGCAGCAAAGGCCTCTCCTTCCCTTCCCAGGAGGAAGGGGGTGTGGAGGGGAGGAAGGCACGTGTGTGTGTGTGTGTGTGTGTGTGTTGGGTGGTGGTAACTGCAAGTTCCCTTTTGAATTTCATTGGAGTTTCCTGTTGCTGTTTGGTTTGGGAAACCGCTGCAAGAGGTGAGGTGTGAGCCTGCACGTGTCTGCTGCAGCCACCTCTGCCTGCAGAGGGAAGCCTGAAGTGGGAAAAGGAAGTTGTAGGGAAGGTCTGTGAGTTGCTGGAAGCCCAGGGTGCCATCTCTCCCTGTTTCTGGGTAGGGAAA